AGTTGGTTTAGATATCCATATTAATAAAAAACTATTTAGATAATATTTTTTATGAGTTTGATTATTTTTAATTATTAAAAATTTATATGGTTATTAGTTTTAGAGCTTGTAGGATTAGTTCGATGCTACTGAAAATTCATGTTAATAATAAAAAAAATTGTTTGGAATGGTTCTTAATTATTTTTTTAATTTTAAGTTATAATCCAAAAACTATTTTTCTTAAATAACTTATTATAAAAATGAGTTAAAATGATTAAAGTTAAAATTATGCTAGAATTTATAAATTTAAAGTTTGGAATTTTAGTTTTTAATTAAATAAAAATATTCACTCGATTTTTTTAATTATTTTTTTTTATTCAAGTTAAAAGTCATTTTTAAATATAACATTTTTTTAATTAAGAATAAAAAAATATAAAAATCATATCAAGATGATCTAAATCCTTTCACATGATCTAGAAAGTGACCTCGGATTTGTAAATGTTATTTTGACCTACTTGTAATTGTCAACGATGGTATCTATATATTTGTTAATTTTAGAATTCATTAGGTTTAGATATTCATATTAATAAAAAATATTTAGATAATATTTTTTATGAATTTGATTTTTTAAAATTATTAAAGATTTATATGATTATTAGTTTTAAAGCTTGTAGGATTAGTTTGATACTCCTAAATATTTATGTTAATAATAAAAAAAATTGTTTAGAGTGATTCTTAATTATATTTTTTAATTTTAAGTTATAATCCAAAAACTATTTTTCTTAAATAACTTATTAGAAAAATGAGTTAAAATGATTTAAGTTAAAATTATGTTTTATAAAAATAATCCATAACAACTTTTTTAAGATTTAGTGTACATGCTAGAATTTATAAATTTAAAGTTTGGAATTTTAGTTTTTAATTAAATAAAAATATTCACTAAATTTTTTTAATTAAAAATATAAAAATCATATCAAGATTATCTAAATCCTTCTACATGCTCTAGAAAGTGACCTCGGATTTGTAAATGATATTTTGACCTAGTTGTAATGGTCAACGATGGTATTTCTCGTCTGGAGACAGAATTATGGTGGCCTCCTCTAGCTAGGAAATTTCCACTTGGATACTTGATCCAGCTATTGTGATTTAAAAATATAAACAAAAAAACACAGAAGTTAACTTGTGCTCCATTTTGATAATGAGGTTGAATCCGTATCTTGAAGTGTTTTTTAAATTAATTTTTATTTAAAAAATATTAAATTAATTTTAAAATATTTTAAAATACTAATATAAAAAAATATTAAATACATAAAATATATTATTTTGATATATTTTCAATTTAAAATTATTTTTACAAAATCACACCCGTGTTATAAAATATATTATTTTAATATATTTTCAGTTTAAAATTATTTTTACAAAAAACACACCCGTGTTCCTAGACAAACACTTAATTCTTATTAATTCCGTAGTTTTTTTTTTCCTCGAGGTTTGGATTGTGATGAAGAGTCGCAAGCTATTTTTTTTAATTTCTATTTATTCCTTAAAAGATTTAAATTAAAAAAGTGGATCTAAAAATCTTAAACACCAACCGATTGTCCCATCGGAGGCGACCTTCTTCACCAACCGAGGGAAAAAACAGCATCAACAAAAGAAGGCAAAAGTCAACATTCAGTTTAAATTAAAAGCAACCTAAGGAGGACAGCATGTATGAGGATTATTACAAAAACGCGTTGAAGAAACTGAACTGCAAGCAGAGGAGAAGGAGGAATAAATCCAAACACGCAGCTTGCTAGGATTGAATGCATCTTTAAGATCCTGAGGAACTTAAATAATACATGACTTGCTAGTTGGCAAATGCCTGCCATACTGCCGTATAAGTCAAGCTCTAGATGTCAAGCAAATTCGATGGGAATTTGGGTAAAATACTGTTATGTCGGCCATGTAGTTATTTTGCCATTTTATGAGCAATTGACCAAATCTTGTGGATTTGTTAAGTAGGCAGATTCGTTTACTTCCCACTTCGATTCCCATTTTATGAGCAACTGGTTAAGTAGGCAGATTCGTTCACTTCCCACCTTGATATTCAAGATCATATATATGGGCGGTATATATGTCTTTGGTTAAATTTGAAAATTGGATTTAATCTTGGTATATACAGACTAATTAGCTGGAAATTAATGTTATCTGATGAAAAACATGTATCACCAATCGATAAGTACTTAAAAGCGATTCAAGACTGAGAGATAATTAGCTGAGATCGATGTAAATTGTGCTATCAGCAAGCGTCAATTATGGCAATTAGCATAAAGAAGCTAATGCTTTCTACTTAAGAAAGACATCTGAGGGTGTTATTTAAATGGTTGAACCCAATCTCAAGCTCTTGGAGGGGGATACTAAGAAAACAGCACTGATTTGTCCTCTGAACAAACTAATCAGAGATCGTTTTTTGTCAAGAAATAATATATCGCATAAAATAACTCCAAGCTCTTGGTGGGGGAACACCGAGAAAATGACACTGATTGAGGTTCAAACAAATTAATTAAAAATTATTTTTTATTAGAAAATAATATAAATTATTTTTTTAATTTTATTTAATAATTTAAATTATTGAATTGAAATAATTTTTTTATATGGTATCAAAGTCTTAATGATTAAATGATCATGAGTTCAAATCTTACTATTTTTATTTATTTGATAAAAAATAAATATAATATAAAATAAATTTATATAAATTTTAAACCCAAAATATTTTTATTTTAAAAAATATATGAGAAAATAATATAAATTATACAATTAAATCTCATTTAAAATCTTAACTATTGAATTTGAATTGATTATGAATGAGTACAGTTTGTTGAGTACCCTGTGTTTTCACCTCATGCAAACGTTTCCCAGATGGTTGGACATCTAGAAGAAAGAAAGGAGCGTGGAAGTTTACTGAGAGATGTCATTTTCTTACACTATAATCACGTAAAGATGGTTGATTAACGTAAGAAGGTAGTACTTTGAAGAAGTGACACAAAGTTGAGAGTGGACTGACCTAGAACAGAAAAAAACAAAGGAGATAAGCATGAGAAAGTGGCATCCCTTTTGATTATTTGTTGTATAATCTAAGCAATAAATAATTAAGAACATGACTACAGTAATGCAAGAAAAAGACCTGCCAACTACCCGACTCGCACAACCACGCATTCCACCCATATGATTGTTTTCTCTTTTTGCATGTTGTTCTTGCATGGCTAGACCCCACCTTTTGTGCTGTCTGGTTTCATGATCAGTCATCGGTGCTCACCGACACTTCCATGAGCCGTGGGCTATTTGATTTTTCTAGATTCTAATTCCCGTAATTGCATGGATAATTGAGTTGGTACCGTATGTTTAGCTATACTTATTCCCTAAATATCAGCCCTAATCGTGCTTATAAAAAACCAGGCAGTCAGTTTGGTCTGATATGGTGGGATGACCTCATATTTCACGGATCATAGTGATTTTTAATTTAATTCATCTGATCAAACTTTAATGACACCATATTATAATCACTCAAAGGAGGTTTTTTCTTTTAAACTAAAAACTATATCATTTTGGATTAAAATATCGATCTGGGTTGATCAAGATGACTTAAATATGGAGGGTCTTGCAATTATTGTGAGCATGATCCTAGATACAAGCTCAAGACGCCGTTCAACCCTTAATGTATATAGTTCATGAATCTCAATTTCCTATTGAGCATTAGAAATGAGATATCTTTCTAAACAAAAAGATAAAATGTCTGCATTTGATTTATGAGCATTAGAAATGAGATATCTTTCTAAAAAAAAAACAGATAAATTGTCTGTATTTGACTTGTAATCTAGACAACAAGATCTGAACTATGAGTTCTAGATTCATGGAAGACTAATCATGATCGTTAAAGATAATCCTCAACTACTTGCTTACTTATAAATATAAAATTAACCGATCATTGCTTGCTCTTTGTAAACGCACGCATACCTAAATATTCTCAAGACAGATAAAATGTCTTTATGAATTTTCTTGATATGATTCACATTTCTAGGTTTTTGGAATTTTCTAGTTTTTTTTGTTTTTTACTTTGTTGTTTTCTGGTGAGATGGGCAATGACCATCTTAATTATTGGTGGATCACTTGAGAGGTTGTAGATGGTCTGGTTTTCAAATGAGCCAATGGGCTCCTTTGTAACCAAGAAGGGCCCACGAATGGTGTCGACGATTCACAATAGTGACTGGATTTTGCTGCTGGCATCGTTTAATGGATTTTATTAGCCCTTTTTTAAAAGTTAATTATAGCTTAATAATCATTTAGTTTATGAAAAATAATTAATTAACCACTATATATATATATATATATATCTTAATTAATGTTTAAAAATCTTCAATTTAAGTGTTTTTTTTTCCTGAAATGCATTCAAATCTTGTAGTCTCATCTTCCTCTCCAATTCTCTCATCTTTCTATTTTTCAAGCAAGAAAAACGGTGCTATTGATTTAAGGAATAGGATATCTTAATTATTAGTTTATGAAAAATAATGGTTTTTATAAAAAAATTCATTGGAAATAAATTGATGTATATATATATTTTTTTTATTTTTTTAGCATAGTACAATGACCTTATTATTATTCTTGAATGCAAAAAAATACATAACTTAGTCAAAGAGCTTTTAAATTTATTTTACATACTAAGATTATATAAATACTCTTAAAAGCAAAGAAATATCAAAAATGAAAACATAAAAAATTAACCTTTTTATTTTTTAGCATAATAAAATGACAGAATTGATCTTATGATCAGAAATTCAAAGACTGTTGCTAAGAATGCTTTTGCCTTTTCCTTGTTTTATTTTTATTTCACCCTTAAAATATTTAATAAAATAAAAATCGATTTTTATGCTTTTATTTTTTCAATTCCTTTCTATGAGGTTTATTCAATATTATAGCCATGATCAATGGATTAGCCGGGAGTTTTTTCAATATCATGCAAATTCCCCGTGCATTATAACACTTATGATCAACATGCTTCCATAACCATGAAAACGTTAACTCTGCTTCCATCATCCATCATGATGGAGTTCACCCAGTCAGAAAAATTAGTAACCAGCACACAAGCACCAAAATCACAACATAATTTCATAAGTTATAGAAATATTCAAGAAAATAAAAATGCAATCTCTATTCCGCCTAGCTACAGAAGAAAGGCCATTTAAGGCGTTAGGAGCGCATAAAGCTGTAATCTATCCACTTCAATTATCAAAACCTTGACTCCCTTGGTGATTGTCATTGTAGGATTGTGGTGGTCTCCTTTCCTCGGCAAAGCTCACACGAACAGTTCTTCCTCCCAAATTCTGCATCATCAGCATCTGTCAGTCAGTATATAATTCAGGAATCAGAGCATTCAACTCCCTCAAAAACATTCTATTTCTGACCTGGCCATCCATTGCTGAAAGCGCTTCGCTGGCATTTTCAATGCTGTCGTAACGAACAAACCCAAATCCACGAGACCTCCCGGTCTCTCTATCCATGATAACCCTTGCTGTAAAACAGAACCAGATTGTGAATCCCAACATTGCCAGCACCAGGAACCCAGCCAAGTAAAGAACGTTTTGCAACAGCTACCACACTAAACTCACAATTACTGTCATTAAAAATAACACTTACCTTTCTGAAATTGTCAAAGCAGAATCAGATCAGGAAAAATTTGACATGGAAAATAACATTAATTTTGAAACCTAATAATTGAACAGAACCGGACCACTGTCATTTCACATGTAAAAATACATTAACACCAATTCACATCCAAGAACTAAAGCAAAACCCACATGTTACATGACAATTACAAGAAGCTATCAGCACTTGTCACTCCATACATGGACAAGCAGTAATCAGCAACTGCCGCGTTTAAAGATAAACCACACAAATTGTAGCATCCAATCCACCAAATCAAATAGAGCAACAAATCCAAATGCCAAAGTTTAGTTTCAAAGACATCAACTGAAAATATAATCCACCAATCTCAGTCATCATTTAACAGCCCCAGAGAAAAATATTGTGCTCATGTTTGATTCAACAACGAGATTTAATAAAAGAACCCTTCGCTATATAACTGGTTCAACTACACATGATCAAACTTACCCTCTGTCACTTCCCCAAAGCCAGAAAATGCATCTTTAAGGGTTTGGTCATCAGTTGACCATGGAAGCCCTAAAACACAGACAAGATAGACAACAGCAGAGCATTAATGCAAAACACACATGAACTATCATCCAAATGTCATGTATTCATCAATACCACTTGTAGCATTCAAACAGCAATTATTCATCAGTACCTCCAATGAAAAGCTTGGATGAAGACATGCAGCGAATAGAGTTCACCATGGACACCATTGGAACTTGCCCCTTCTGGGAAATTGACTGCCTCGCTAGGCTCCCGAGCTTGTTAAAGAATGCCATTTCAATTATGGACTAAACCATAGGGATATCACAGCATCAGTATCAAGCATTAACAATATTCAACCCAAACAACCTCGTAACATAGTAAACCAATTCATAATCATGCAATATCTCAAAGCCACAGTAAATAATGAGGTCAATTTTCAAATTCAATGTTTATTAAGAGATCAAATAGCTAGCTTCGAATAAAAAACACACAAAGTGAAAACATTGACAAGAACAAAATGGATTATTCAGAACACAAAAATCACTCAGAGACCAAAAAACTCTAAAAGATTAGTTGAGCCTGCACTCACACCATTCACACTACATACGCAGCCCAAGTTACGAAATAAAAAAAAAACACTCTAAAAGGCCGTCATTAATAATCTGAAAAATTAAAATCCAAACAGAGAAGAAAATCTTATAAACAAGACAGAATCAATCACGTGGCAAACAAAACATAACCCAAAACCAAAAAACACAAACCAAATATCAAAACAAGACCCTTTAAGAAGACAAACCAACGAACCCAGTTTAGTACACAACCAAACAATATCAGAGATTTAAGACAGAAAGAACAAAACTTTACTGAAACATAAACAATCTATGTGTGATCCATAAAACACCATAAAAAAACTTTTTACATAAAACACCAGCATCAAACATCAAATACAAGGAAACATAGACTCAAGAGAAGGGGAAACAAAAAGAGTTCATCTATCAAGTGGGGCTGAAGGAAATACAAAGAGTCAATCGCGTGGCAAGCAAAACATAACCCAAAACAAAAATATGCAAACCAAACCTCAAAACAAAACCTTAATAAGAATACAACCCACCAAACCCAATTTAGTAAACAGCAAAACAATATCAGGTATAAGACAGAAAGAACGAAACTTAAACAAAAACAAACCATGTATGATCCATGAAACATCATTAAAAACATAACTTTTTACATAAAACACCAGCATCAAACAGTCAAATACAAGAAAACATAAAGTCTCAAGAGAAAGGGAAACAAAAAGAGTTGAACTATAAACTGGGGCTTAAGAAAAGAGGGTAAGGATCATACCTTCAAAGAAGAAAAGAGAGAAAGGCTCTTAGTTTTGGGAGAGTGAAAGGAAGGAAGCAGCTAGGGTTTAAGAGAGATTTAGAGCGAAGCCTCTTGAAAGATATATTGCTGAAGTGACTGTTGGGAAATGTCTTTTTAATAAATAGATTAAAATAATATTTTTACAAACATTATATTGAAATAATTAACAACTAAAAAATTAATTTAAAACTAAAAATAATTTTAAATTTTTTTAAAAATACAATTATAGCGCGACTTCAAACACAATCCAACTTACAGGTTTTAAGATGTTTGTCAAGGGTGGTATTGTCATTAACATAGAGGAGAGGGTTTAACGGTTTAACAGTTAATTTGATGGATTGTAGGATGGAAACTGTAGAGGAAGAATATGTTTTTCAATCCATTTCTGATTGCTTCTGCAAGTTCTGCTAGATAAACATCTTGGTGGATACAGCGGCGGCGTGTCACGGGGATCAGGTGACGGACAAGGCAAGGCAGCATAACAATGGTCATGGGCGGTGCGGTGCCTTTACCTAACAAATAAATGCATCAAACTTAGGAGGTCCAACCTATCGTCTTCGCTCAACTCAATTCAACAAAATAAATAAATAACTTTTTACCAAATTTTCATATCCTAATAAAAATTTCAGCATTTCGTTTCACCCCCCTTTACCGATATCAATCATCATATTTTTTTTAAATTCCTTTACCGATATCAATCATCATATTTTTTAAAAAAATTTAGTCTCTATTGAGTTTTTTTTTTAATTTATAGGTTCATATATTATTTTTAATTTATTTTATTAAATGTAGATAACATTCTTTCACTACTTAATTAAAAAATTATGCAAATCAAAAGGGTATTTATAATGTTTGATTTCTTCTTTTGCCTTATAAAATAACTTACTAACACATATTATAATACTCATATATTTATATATATAAAAAAACATAATTACTTTCTACAACTAATTATTTAAGCCCAATTTATGAAAATAATAACCCCTGCATTAACTTTTTTTTAATTAATATAGTATTTGAGCTAGTTCATATGCATTTTAATCAATTCCATGGATTCTAAAATAAAAAATTATATAAATTTTTATTTATTTTAAAAGGACTTGAACTCATTATTATTAAAAAATAAACTCAAAACCTAACTAATTAAACTTTTCTTGAAATTGCATTAACTAATCTTTAATTACTTCCTAGTGTTAGCATGACTTTTTTTTAATGTTGGTAATGTAAAAATATTAAAAAATAAACTTAAAACCTCACTAATTAAATTTTCCTTGAAATTGCATTAACTAATCTTTGATTACTTCTTAGTGTTAGCGTGCCTTTGTTTTTAGTGTTGGTAATGTAAAAGTATATGTTCCATTCCAAGTAGTAGGTTTATTGCTTAAAAAAATCATTTTTTTCATCAATTGTTAAAATTTAAAATTCATACTTGCAAAAAAATATCTTTTTACATGATCAGGGTAAAGTAGTATAGTAAAATTAGGTTGATATCTTTAAAAAAAAAAAACACAATAATGTTTGAGGGGTGTTTTAAAATTTTTATAATGTGTTATTACTGTATAGTCATTAGAGTCAACTTTTTTTTGTCTAAGTTCAAGGGGTATTTTTTGTTTTTTTGCATTTATTGCACGGGGTAAAAAATGTTCCTGTCTTTTGATAAATAAATAAATGGTTGGTACCCGCTCCCTTCTTAAGGGGCATGCAATTCCTCCTAGTAGCTACTAATTACTTTTCGGGTTATTTTTAAAATCTCGCACCATTCTTTACATGAGGTTGTTTGTTACTTTTCGGGTTATTTTTAAAATCTCGCTCCACTCTTTACATGAGGTTGCTTGAAAAGCAACCACTACAATATTATTAAACATATTGTAAGCTAGAACAAGTCATAGAGAATATTTTTTTTTATTCTACTATTGTCTTTCTCCTGTACGGTGATTTGGTAAAATTATGAGGTAATTCTTAATTTCTTATTTATATTAAATTTAATTATTATTTTTTTAAATTTACCCTTGATTAGATATTCAACTCTCATCCTGGGTCAATTAATATACAATATAATGATATGAACTTAATTTGAGGAATTTGCAGGGATTAAAGAAAAAGAATAATTTATTTACAATTTAAACCTTTAGACACAACACTTTTTTCATTGTAGGATTTTCAAGTAATAAGAACAAGAATCCAATTCGCATTAACAACTACTAGATTCATATTTATTTTTATTTTTATTTAATTTAGCAAAAACTATTTTTCCATTTATTAATTTAGAAAAATCATGATACCAAAAAACACTCTTCTATATATATATCCTACATGCAGTGCAGCTTACATGCTACGTTACATTCTAACTTCTATTTGCTTCATTTTAAAGTGTTGCACTAACAACCCTGCCAATGCAAAACAAGGTTGATAATTCTACCTGGTATGATCCTTCTTATGAAGGCCATTTCAACCTCACTTTAGCAACCCTCTCCACATCAGGCAAAAGTAGTATTTATGGCAGCTATATTGACAATAACTATAATTTAGCAAATTTTTTAGAGATTAATAAAGAAGGTTAATTGCATGGTACTGAAAAACCGAGATAATTAAAAAAAACTGAAAAAACTGAATTATATAAAAAAAACCAATTATAAAAATTAAAAAATAATTCGGTTCAAGTTTTGTTTTAAAAGACTGAAACTAAATAAATCAAACCAATTAAATAAAAAAAAACCAGTATTATAAATAGTTTCCAAACCCATCTACAATTCAACTTTTTAGTCTCTTCTTTTAATCTATCAAACCCCTCCTAAATCAATAAATCAAATCTTCATCTCTATCCTTTTTCATTCATATATTTACTTATCCTTTTCCATTCACATATTTATTTTGTAGTTTCTTTTCATCATAATAAACCTAACTATCACTTCCCTTTTCTTGTTCAATTTCTCAATTAAATCTTTATATTTTTTATTTATAGATCTACTTTTTAATTTCAAGTTCTTTGTCTCTTCAAATTGAATGAGAAATTTGCTTGTGACTATTTTCTCTTCTAAATTGTTTTTTCTTTTTTTTCTTTTTTTTTAGTTTTTATTGATTTATATTAATCTATTTTGTTAAACTTTTCAAGTAAAATTAGTTAACAAAATCAGATACAATTTTAATGTCCATGTTTGCAGTCTCAATAGATAATTTTTTTCTCTGCTGTTTCTTCTCACTTGATTTCTGAGAAAATAGAAGCAATAAAATGTTAAAGATGTATGAATTAGTTAACAATAATATTAAAATAGCATTATTTTTCTATTTATTTTGTTTTTGTAGGTGCTAGAATAGATTTTGTTTTTTTTAATAGGTGTTGAGATGGAGATCGCTGATACAGAGTACAAATTGTAACTTTTTAGTTTTAGCAGAGGCATTTGTTTTCTTATCTAAACCCATTGTTTTCAAAATCTTAAACCATTTTTCATGTATAATTTTATTTTATTTTGAATTTTGATTAAAGGTGATTGGTTTGAAAAAACTATTGGGTGCAAATTAAAAGATATTTCTCATTATTTAAGATAAATTCTAATAAAGAAAAATTATACAATGAACGTAGATTCTTATATTAATTATAAACCTTTTAAATGACCCATCAAAAGTTAAAAAAAGCAAAAAAAATAAACCAGGTTTTTTTCTTTTTTCCTTCAATTAACCAAACCAAACCGATATGCAAACCAAATCAAACCAAAATTCATTAGTTGAACTAGTTTCAATTCAATTTTGAAATTTTTAAAATATAAAATTTAATTTGATTATTTTTTTAGATAAAAACCAGAACAAAAAGAAAATGCCCCCCATTTAATTGTGTACATCAAAACCTTATCTCTGTAAATGTAATCATCGACCCAAAACATGGATAAAGTTAGGATTTACTTCAAAATAATCAAGAAAATAAAAATGCAATCTCTACTCCGCTAGAAGCAACTAGATAAAGCAGCAAGGCTATTTAGGGCCTTAGCAGCGCATAAAGCTGTAGTTAATCAACTTCAATTATCGAAACCTCGATTCCCTTGGTAATCGTCATTGTAAGATCGTGGTGGTCGGCTCCTCTCCTCAGCAAAGGACACGCGAACATTTCTTCCACCCAGCTCCTGCAAAATCAGCATGATCAGTCAATACATAGTTTAGGAATCAGGGCAGTCAACTACCTCAAAAAACATTCTATTTCCGACCTGGCCATCCATTGCTGATAGTGCTTCACTGGCAGATTCACTGCTATCATAACTAACAAACCCAAATCCACGAGATCTCCCAGTCTCTCTATCCATGATAACCCTTGCTGTAAAACAGAACCAAGCAGAGTAAAGAACGTTTTGCAACAGCAGCCACACTAACTCAATTACTGTCATTAAAACTTTAAATATCCAACTAAAATGACACTTATATCTTTCTGAAATTGTCATGGTAGAATCAGATCAGGAAAACTTTGACATGGCTAATCCACCAGTCTCAGTCATCATTTTACAGCCAAAGAAAAATAGCGTGCTCAGGTTCGTTTAGTAAACCTTACTAAATAACTGGTTCAACTACACAGGCTCAAACTTACCCTCTATCACTTCTCCATAGCCAGAAAATGCTTCCTTAAGAGTATGGTCATCAGTTGACCATGGAAGCCCTAAAACACAGACAAGATAGACAACGGCAGAGCATTAATCCAAAATACACATGAACTTGTATCATTCAAACATCCAAGTATTCATCAAAACCATTTGGAGCATTCAAAATGCTATTGTTCATTAATACCTCCAATGAAAAGCTTGGATGACGACATGCAGCGAATGGTGTTCAACATGGACACCATTGGAACTTGCCCCTTCTGGGAAATTGACTGCCTTGCCAGGCTCCCGAGCTTGTTAAAGAATGCCATTTCAATTATGGACTAAACCATAGAGATATCACACCATCAGTATCAAGCATTAACAATATGTAACCCAAACAAGCTCAAAACATAGTAAGCCAATTCATAATCACGAAATATCTCAAAGCCATAGTAAATAATGGTGTTGATTTTTTATTCATTGTTTCTTAAGAGATCAAATAGCAAACTTTAGATAAAAAAATAAAAACACAAACCGAAAACAATGACAAGAACAAAATGGATTATTCAGAACACAAAAAACACTCGGAAAACCAAATAACTCTAAGAGATTAGCTGAGCCTCCACCTACACCATTCACACTCCATAAGCAGCCCAGGTTAAAATAAAATAGAACACTCTAAAAGGCTATCATTAATAATCTAAAAAATAAATCACAATTCAAACAGAGAAAAAATCTTATAAACAAGACAGAATCAATCACGCAGCAAACAAAACATAACCAAAACACACAAACTAAATCTCAAAACAAAATCCTTGAAGACAGAAAGAACGAAACTTTACTAAAACAAAATCAAACTATGTATGAGCCATAAGACATCATAAAAAAACATTACTTTTTAAATAAAACACCAGCATCAAACATTCAAGTACAAGGAAAAATAAAGTCCCGAGAGA